GTGGCATCCTGTGCCTTGTGCTCTGAGGCTGCTGCGGTGCCCACAGCTACAGAGGAGGCAGGTGGGTACCTGCACACATGAGGCTGAGCGCTGACGTTTACCCGAGATCATCCAGCAAACTGATCGGCTGCCGCAATTGTGACAACTCAGCAGTAGCTGCAGTGGGCCTGGAGCAAGGTTTAATTTGCAGCTGAAGTTGTTATTCTGATGTGCAAGTGAATTTTCTACATGTTGTGCCCCCCTAGGTCTTAGCAGGAATTCACTTCTGTACCCAAATGGGGACGTGTGCCAGCACCCACAGTCAGTGTCTGCTGGGTCAGATGCTGTGACGAGCAGGCCCTGTGGACTCCGTGACCGTCCGGTGCCTACGCGCTGTGCATCCGGTATTTCCGTTGTCGAATATTCATTCACTTAAGTGCTTCCCGGAAAAACAGTTAATTAATCCATGCTTTAAATTTCATTTAATTTTGAAGGAGTGCTTTTAACACTTGAAAACAAAAATCAGCTTGTTTTGTATATAAGAACTGGATTTTTCGTTTTTGTTTTTAATGCTAATAAATCAAGCACTGCTCACAAATCAGTTGATGTAGTCTGTCCTGTGCAGAGTGGCCTTTGCAGGATGTTGACGTGAGAACCCAACGTCTAGGACCTGCCAGTGTTCTCCTGTGCCATCGTCCATTTAGTCCTGAGCACCTCTCTGCTCCTGCGGCCCATCCCAGTCTCCCCCAGACCCTGTGCGCCCTCCTCTCCCCCTGCCTCCCTAGCCCCAGTCTGTGTGCTTACTTGGCAGTGCAGGCCATGCCTGGTTTTCACAAACTGGACATCAACGTGATCGTGCGAGCCCATCCCTGGATTGCCAACGAGCCACGCTGCATGAAAGCTTTTGCTTTCCCTCTCCCCGACGTCCTAGGTCAACTCAGGCACACACTGGGGCCGAGGTTCGAGGTCCCCCTGTCTGCAAAGGGGGCTGCAATGGGGGGCAGACGGGAGCACTGTCACTTAGTGATGGCTGTCTATACGTTTGCAGCCCTGGTACAGCTCCTGGTACACCTCCGATGATCCAGGCCCGACCCCGCATCCGTGCATCACAGCATCCCCGGAGCTGGTGCATGAGATGGCACATGTGCCCGCACTTGTAGGAAGAGTCTCCAGGAGGATGTGTTACCAAATCAAGCTGTAATTACTAAGACCTACAGATAAGTCCGAACCAAAGAGCCCCTCTTGCTTCCCAATGGGGAGGGGGTGGGCTTCTATGTACCTGGGGCCACAGGTTCATTTCACCTAATGCAAAGAAGTGGGAGAGACCTGGGGGTTTTTTTTTTTGGTTTTTGAGGGGTTTTTTTTTTTGCGGTATGTAGGCCTCTCACTGTTGTGGCCTCTCCCGTAGCGGAGCACAGACTCCGGACGCGCAGGCTCAGCAGCCATGGCTCACGGGCCCAGCCACTCCGCGGCATGTGGGATCCTCCCGAACCGGGGCACGAACCCGCGTCCCCTGCATCGGCAGGCAGACTGTCAACCACTGCGCCACCAGGGAAGCCCCAAGACCCAGTTTTTGAGGTGTCTAATGCTCTGGGTTGGGTCATCTGGGGTCACTGTGTTGCTGCAGGAACTGCCCCCTTTTCTGGAAAGAATGGGCCCGTTTCAGAAGTCCCAGCAGAATAGGATGGGAGTGGGAAGAGGGGGAAGTCCTGGAGGTTAGTGTTCGATGTTCACCACCCGTGTCTCCGCATCAAGGAGAGGGTCTTCCTAAAGAGAAGAGTCATGGACTTCCCTGGTGGTGCAGTGGTTAAGAATCCGCCTGCCAATGCAGTGGACACGGGCTCGAGCCCTGGTCCTGGAAGATCCCACATGCTGCGGAGCAGCTAGGCCCATGCGCCACAACTACTGAGCCCACGCACTGCAACCACTGAAGCCCGCGTGCTCTAGGGCCCCTGCTCCTCAACAAGAACAGCCACCGCAATGAGAAGCCCGCGCACCGCAATGAAGAGTAACCCCTGCTCGCCACAACTAGAGAAAGCCCGCGCGCAGCAACGAAGACCCAATGCGGCCAAAAATAAATAAAATTTTAAGAAATAGAGAAGTGTTGCTCTGAACTTTCTCTTTTGCGCAGAATCCGAATTATCAACAGGTTTTCCCTAGCTGAGACACACTCACAGTGGGAAACCAGGCCCTCAACTGAAATACTAGCACTTTATCTGCTCATATAAAAAGTATTACCACCTTGATCCTCCTCTCTCCTTGAAATTAATTTAAGGGCCTGTGTAGAGGGGGCGGGGAGGGGGAAATATTATATTATTTGCAGAATCTTTGAGATTTCTGGTGTTCTGTGTGCTGAACAGAGGGATTTTTTTTTCCCAGTGTCAACATATTTTACTATGTATTTGAAACCATTTATTCTAATTGACTGTAAGTAAACGATTAAATATCACTGAAGAAAAATAGACAAATGGAAGTATACTTTTAGAGTAAGAAGTTGCTGGTTTTAAGCCAACTCAGCAGCTAAATTAAGCGATTAGTAAAGTGCTGTGAAACTTCAATGTTTCATTTCAGAGTGGAATAGAGGCCAGATAAAGCAATGACCTACTCGTGGATGGGGAAAGAGGTTCTCTGGAATTGCCGTGCAGTTTATTTAATAACGTGTGGAAACTGGTTTTTGTTAACCTCTTTGGATCGCCTTTCCCGTAATTGTTCTGACTGGATTTAAGATTTCAAAAGAACTCAGTACAAAGGTCAGAAGAATGTTGGGTGTCATTTCCTTCCCATTCTGTATGCTATAATGCCGAACAGAAGGCATGTTCTTGTAATTTAGGATTAGGCCTGTCAATCTAAACTCTTTTATTTTTCCCTCACACGTGAAGATTCCAGTTTGAAAATATGTTAAAAAGATAAATTTCATGATAATCACTGGAGTTCCTATATGACTCGTGCAAGCGTGTAGGAAGTTAGGGTGTGTCTATGGGGTCAGATGCTGATGACCTGGCCCCTTCCAGGACCCCCCAAGGCGGGTTCAAGCCCAGGACCTGCTGCAGGGAACCCCCTCTGGACCCTAATTTTCCCATCCATAGATGGAGGTACAGCAAGACCTGCCCCAGGCGTGAGCATCAGATGAGGTGACACTGTCAAAGCTCTTCGAAAACCATGAAAGCAGACAGGTGGAGGGGAGCATGGCACCTCGCGGGGGCCCAGGCACCAGGAGCATGTGGGAATTGGGAGCCTGAGCCGGAGATGGTGGGTGAGTTTTCAGGAAGACAGGCATGTACATTATACCAGAGGTACTTCGGTTGTCTGTCTTTCCAGACATTTATTCTACGTACGGAGTCTAACGTTCCATTAACTCATTAGCAACTGATGCAGAAATGTTGGTTATTGGCTATGACAATTAAAGCACTTCAATGCCTGATTCTGATGCCAGAATCCACTTCGTAAAGCTCACTGGCGTGCTTGGCATGTTTTGTTTGTGGATGTCAGCTCGACTGACCGTCCCAGCCTGGGCCCTGACCTACACACGCTGTCCCGTTCCGGGAGTGCAGGTGCTCACCGGGTCTAGCTTGGAGGGGAAACCGTCACTTTGCCTGATGGCTGCATCCTCCCCTGGATCCCCTGCGCTTCCCAGCCAGCTTCAGAGGAAGGGATTTGTCCTTTTCAGTGAGTTTAGAAACTGGATTGATCAGCTGTTCTTTTTCTTCTTTTTATTTCAGCGGAGGAGAAATACAGAAACATTCTGAGGATTTTGGTATTTTTAATGAAAGGTTGTTAAAACAAACAAAAAAAAAAAGGTATTTTCAGTGTGATGCCTGGAGTCTGTGCTAGTTTTCCAGCTAAGGAGACGGATATGACATAGACCCTGGCTCCAGACTCAGCTTTGTACCTTTTCTTTTCAAGTAATAGATTGATTCTCTCTGGAAACCATTTCCACCCCAAACTGAAGATTAAGAATGTTGCTGAAATGTTTACTTTTGTGTAGTAATAAGTTTTTAATGAAGAAATAACCGGTCATGGTATTTCATTTCCTCCCAAATTCATATGTGAGTAAAATCTCTTTGGGTAAAAACCTTCGTAAAGAAGGTAGCAATGGTGGTCTGTAACAATGATTTCTTCTGTCTGGTTCCAACACCTTCCGGATTTCCTGTGATGAGCTGTCACACAGGAAGGTGGGAGGAATCTATGTCTGGAAGATATATATTGTCGTAGAAAATGTTTTCTTATTGAGGACCCTCTACATCATAGGAAACATTGATTGAGAACTAACTACATGGGAAGAGAAATCCACTTTATGTAGTTATTACCCCCACCTGTAAAAAAACATGGTCTTCCGCGCCTGATTCTTTTTAAACTTTTTATTGAAAAGGTACAATGAACAGCAAGCAGGGAAGCCCGACGTACACCTCACCCCTCAGCAACAAGCAGCAGTCACCAACCTTGTTGATTCCGCCTCTGCCCCGGCCCCATTCGTGGCCAGGGGGTGCTCAATCACTCCAAGCTTGGCCCGCCCCGGTCAGGGCCAGTAGGGGCCCTACTGCCTGGTCCTGCCTGGAGCTTTCCTCCTGAGGTCCCCTCTGCCTCCTCGCCCAGCCCTCGTCCACACCCAGGCAGAGCATCCTACCCTCCCTCCGTGGCTCGGCAGGATGCTTGAGAACAGAAACCACGTGTAGTTTGTCATGAGTATAAAAATGGCCCCCAAACAAAGATGCAGGTGGGGCTCTCGGGCGTTCCCAGCATTCAGACTGAGATCCGGGTCCCAGCATGCCCACCGCCCTACTCATTGATTATACCTGAGTCAGGGATTGGGGACATGGCAAGGTTTTTAATGGAAAGTCAAGCCATTAGATCTTTCTCATCTAGATGTAAAACAGAGAAAGTAGGGCATCATAGCCCCGTTTGCAAATTTTTCTAACCTAGAGAGGAAAAATATTTTCAGGGAAAGCAGTGAAGTGGGTTCCTTTACAATTGGGCAAGTTATCAAAGATTAGGGCTGCCAACTGTCCAGACTATCTCCGCCAGAGCCGGGAGGCCCCTCAATCACAGATGGATGGCTTGCTGACCCTGTAGCTGGGGTGGAAGTTGAGCCGGTCGTAGAAGGTGATGTAGTTGTCCGGACCCGTCACAATGCTCTTCTCCATGTAGACATTGAAAGTATTGTTCTGGAACATTCCACCAGCCGCAACTTGTCTAGAAAATTTATACGAATTTGGATAAAATACCCTCTGGAAGTGAAGAGGACACTAGGGTTAGTGGTACATGATAACACTCTTGAGCAATCAGTCATTAGGTATTTTTGGAAGAAAAATAAAAATTTGTAAGAAAATGTTTTTAAATTCTTATTTTGGAAGAAAATGTCGTCTCCAATCCTAGGAAGCAGAGAAGCCAGGGTGGGCAGGATGGCTGGCCTAGTTGGCTCCAACCATCCCAATTTATGCCTAATGTCAGGGAATAATGATTAATGGCGCCTCCTTTCACTATTACATGGATAGAAGAATCAATTAATTATGGGGCCACCTGGGCAAGGCACTGCCACACCTGACTATGGTTACAATGGGTCAGGCCCAAAGCTGTTCCCAGTTCAGCTTTTGCCAACTGTACAACTAGGGCAAGTTACTGGACCTCTCTGAACTTGAGTTTTCTCTTTGGTGGAAAAGAGATAACATCGGTAGGTTTCCACCTTGATGGGGTATTAGAATCCCTTGTAGAACTTTAAAACAATTCTGATGGCCATGCCCCCCCAGCCCAGGGGTCTGGGGAGGGATGCCCTAGCGAGGTGGAGGTGCAGTGAGTACACAGATGAGGCCACTGGTGTGTGCGGGCACCCAGGGGTAGGAGTCATTTCAGCAATACAGCATCCCCAGGTGACCTCGAGGTTTCTGACAGAAGTGGCCTGGACCACTGTCAGATAGTACACTTGGGACAGGTGGCCTGTTCTAGGCTCCCCTCGTGTCAAGTAGATCACTTGATGTTTTGTCTCCTTGGCAGGAAGCAAGTACCAAGAGAAATGGCCTTCAGTGCATTCTTTTGTTTGTTTTTTGTGGGTGTTGTTTTTGTTTTGTGTTTTATTTTGCTTTGTTTCGTTTTTGGCTGCACCCCGCAGCTTGTGGGATCTTCGTTCCCCGACCAGGGATCAAACCCGTGCCCCCTGAAGTGGAAGTGCAGAGTCCTAACCACTGGGATGCCAGGGAATTCCCAGTGCATTTTTATTTTTGGTTTTTTTTTTTTTTTTTTTTTTTTTTTTTTTTTTTTTTTTTTTTTGCAGTACGCGGGCCTCTCGCTGTTGTGGCCTCTCCCGTTGTGAAGCACAGGCTCCGGACGCGCAGGCTCAGCAGCCATGGCTCACGGGCCCAGCCACTCCGTGGCATGTGGGATCTTCCCGGACCGGGGCA